ACCCCTCTGGAGCCGTTTGGTTTCCCACCATCGCTCTCCTCACCGGCCTGTGGCCATGGGGAGGTGCCGGCGGCTCACGGCCCTGGCAGCACACACAGAACTCGATGGCGCAGCTCACCGTGAGAGGTTTGTGGCCAATCGCACAAAGCAAAGGCAGATTGACACGGTGGGGCCGGATCTGACCAGTCCACCTCAGTTTTGGGGAATTTGGTTGGGACGTGGAGCCAAGAGCCGAGATTTGGGGCCAAGAGCTGAGATTTGGGGCAGAGCCATTTCAGAGCTGGTACAGGGGACAGGAATGGGGACAGGGGCTGGGGACTGGGGAAGGGTCTGGTGAATGGGGACATGGGGGAAGCAGCGATGGGGTTGAGGTCAAAACGACAGGCAACATTCGCCCAACCAGCACAATCATCAACACACTTGGCACAGAAATAGGATCCGGAATCCTCATCCTTGAGGTTGTTCATGGTCAGCATCACCAAACTCTGCCCATTGTCCCTGGAGATCGTGAACCGGCCCTTGACCGAATCCGTGTACCTGGTCAAACCACCATTGTAGCTGATACTTGCAACCCACTCCAGCCCCTGCCCGGGTCTCTGGTGCACCCAGAACATGTCGTAGCTCCCGAAACTGAACCCGGACCCTCGGCAGAGGAGGCGCAGGGACCCCCTGGGGGGCTGGAGGTCCCCCCCTCACTCCAGAAGGGTCACGCCCGCCCAGAGCCCTGCGGGACAAAGGGGAGATGGGGATGGGGAAAAAAATCAACCCAAATATTTAATCTTGCATGCAGATCCTGATGCTGGCCTCAAATTGGAACCCTTGAAGTTCAGCATCCTCTTCCTGCAGCACCTGCCAATCCTCCCAGGTGGATCCCACACACTTCTTCTGGCATGGCGGTGCCCACTTTGGGTCAATAACAAATCCAGCTCCTCATCCCCATCTGCCCTTTGTCCCGCAGGCCTCCGGGTGGCCGTGACCCTGCTGGAGTGCGGGGGGGACATCCAGCCCCCCAGGGGGTCCCTGTGCCTCCTCTGCCGAGCGCCCGGGATCGATTTTGGGAGTTATAAAATGTTCTGGGTCCGCCGGAGACCCGGGCAGGGGCTGGAATTCGTCGCAGGGATCACCAACACTGGCGGAAACACCTGGTACGCAGATTCAGTCTAGGGTCGGTTCAGGATCTCCAGGGACAACGGGCAGAGCTCGGTGACACTGACCATGAACAACCTCAAGGACGAGGATTCCGGATCCTATTTCTGTGGGAAATGTGCTGACACTGGTGTTTGCAGTTCTGATGCTGATGCTATTGACGTGCCGGGCTTGGCCCCATTCCCCGACCAGCATTGCATGAGCATCCGGGCACAGGACGGTCGGGACGGACGGATGGACACGAGAGATCTCTGCAGCCAGGTCGTGGCATTTGGGGTTTATTGCGAAGGACGAACTGCAGGGCCCTGCTGGGAGCTGCCAGGCACAGCTGGAGCAGGGCTGAGAGAAGAGAGGGGAGAGGGGATGAGAGGGTGAGAGAGTAAGAGAGTAAAAAAGGTAAATGAGTAAAAGGGTGAGAGAATAAAAAGGGTAAGAGAGTGAAAAAGTCAGTGAATAAAATGGTAAGAGTGTAAAAGAGTAAGAACATAAAACTCTAAGAGAATAAAAGGGTAAGAGAGTGAGGTTCCCACCACAATAAAATAAATCTTCTTCTCTGTAGAATATTCTAATTCTCGCTAACCAGTGTAGTACAATATACAAACCCTACATCATTTACATACAGCCTACAAGAATCGTTTCATTACCATACTCTATTACAATTTAAACCCTAAAAATTGGTCTTTGGGACCCTTCTGCCAAGCCTAAGACCTGCTCTTGGGAAACCCTAAAAACTCCTCTTTGGAGTAACTTTTAACCCTAAAAACTACACTTTGGACTAACTTTAAATGCTCAAATCTCCTCTTTGGGCCCTTCTGCCAAGCTGTGGGGTCTGCTCTGACCCTTGGGCCTGTCTGCAATCAGAGGTTGTTGTTCCATCAAAATGGGATCACCTTCAGTCGGCCACACCGTTGTTTTCCAGTTGTTCAGTAACTGAGGGATCTCAAAGCTTGCTTTCATTTCAGTCTCGCTGATTGTTTCCATATTCTCAAAATCTTTTGCCGGGCAATCATACTGATAAGGCTTTGCTGTTCCATTTCCCCAACCAGCATCAGCATAAGCACCGTGACCATCAGTGTCCTTGGCACAGAAATAGGATCCGGAATCCTCGTCCTTGAGGTTGTTCATGGTCAGCGTCACCGAGCTCTGCCTGTTGTCCCTGGAGATCCTGAACCGGCCCTTGACTGAATCCGCATAGCAGGTGCTGCTACCACTGCTGGTGATGGTTCCGACCAACTCCAGCCCCTGCCCGGGTCTCTGGCGGATCCAGCCCATCCCAAAACTGCCGAAACTGAACCCGGGCCCTCGGAAGAGGCGGCGCAGGGACCCCCCGGGGGGCTAGAGGTTCCCCCGCACTCCAGCAGGGTCACGGCAACCCAGAGCCCTGCGGGCCAAGGGGGAGATGGGGATGAGGTGCCGGACCTGGGCGTGGGCTGTGATGGGGGTGACCAGATCCAAAAAGGGACCTGGACCCACCTGGGAGTGCCAGCAGGATCGGGAGGAGGAGAAAGTGCCACAATTTGAGGCCAACATCAGAATCTGCATGCAGGAATCAACATTTGGGCGGATTTTTTCCCTCATCCCCATTTGCCCTTTGTCCCACAGGGCTCCGGGTGGCCGTGACCCTGCTGGAGTGCGGGGGACACCTCCAGCCCCCTGGGGGGTCCTCTGCCGAGGGTCCAGGTTCAGTTTTGGCAGCTCTGACATGTTCTGCGTCCGCCAGAGACCCGGGCAGGGGCTGGAATGGGTCGCATGGATCGGGAGCGATGGTTCCAGTACCATCTATGCGCTGTCGGTGCAGGGCCGGTTTACGAATCCAGGGACAACGGGCAGAGCTCTGTGACGCTGACCATGAACAACCTCAAGGACGAGGATTCCGGATCCTATTTCTGTGCCAAAGCTGCTGGTGCTGCTTGGGCTGCTGCTACTTACATTGAATGTGCCGGTGGTGGCAGCGCCCTTGCCTGAGCCCCTCTTGTCTCCAAATCTCAGAACCTTTACCCAAATCTCAGCCCTTGACCTCATTCCTGAGCCTTTGTCCCAGATCTCCCCCATTTCCCACATCACCAACCACGGAGCCAAAACCCCCAAACTGATTCTGCCCCAAATCCCCACTTTGTGCTTCCTGCAGCAGCAGCCACTGACCGAATCCTCAACCTTTGTCCCCAAATTGGGACCCTGGGCCCCAAACCGCGACCTTCAGGGCAAAGTTGTGGGGCACAAAGAGGAGATTTGGGGTCAGGAGTTGTGGTTTGGGGTCAACGAGTGAGAATTGGGGCCGACGCAGAGCAAGGTTTGGATCAATGGTCAAGGGCTGGGTGTGGGCTGGGGGTTTCGAGGAAGGGTCAGGGGAACAGGAACAGGGGGGGACACAGGGATGGGGATGGGGATACCATGGACATCCTCACTACGAGCAGCATGTTCAGGGTAATTATTAGCAGCACCCTTGGCGCAGAAAAAAACGGTGGAATCCTCATCCATGAGGTTGTTCATGGTCAGCGTCACCGAGCTCTGCCCGTTTTCCCTGAAGATCTTGAACCGGCCCTTGACCGATGGCGCGTTGTAGGTGTTGGCACTATTGTAGTAGATGCCTGCGACGTATTCCAAAGCCTGCCCGGGTCTCTGGCAGATCCAGTACATTCCATAATCCCCGAAACTTAACCCAGACCCTTGGCAGAGGAGGCGCAGGGACCCCCTGGGGTGCTGGAGGTCCCCCCCGCACTCCAGCAGGGTCACGGCCATTCCCACATGCCCAAATATTCACCGCTTTTGCCCCAAACTCCCTTTGTCTGGCTTTAAATATCTAACAGAGGTTTCCTGTATGGAGAAGTGCCTTAAACACTGCAATTAGCCCCAATCCACTCATTATTAATTGGGCAGTTCTGTCTGAGTTTTGCATCGCCTCATCCCCATCTCCCCTTTGTCCCGCAGGGCTCCGGGCGGCCGTGACCCTGCTGGAGTGCGGGGGGGACCTCCAGCCCCCCGGGGGGTCCCTGCGCCTCCTCTGCCGAGCGGCCGGGTTCAGTTTTGGCAATTTTGCCATGAACTGGGTGCGCCAGAGACACGGGTAGGGGCTGGAATTTGTGGCATACATAAACATTGGTGGAGCCACTTACTACGCGCCATCGGTCAAGGGCCGGTTCACGATCTCCCAGGACAACGGGCAGAGCTCGGTGACGCTGACCATGAACAACTTCAAGGACGAGGATTCCTGATCCTATTTCTGTACCAGGGCTGCTGATGGTTATGGTGCTGCTGCTAATGCTGACGATGCCCCTGATGGTCTCAAGCTCCTGCATTTCATCCCACTCCCATCATTGAGTCCCCAGAGTTCTGCTTTTCATCCCAAACCTCACCTCTTGACCCAGCCCTTGACCCTTTGTCCCCATTTGCACCAATGGTCAGCACTGACCCCAAACCCTCCCCTGCTCCTGCCCCAAAACTCAACCATTGGCCCCAGACCTTCACCCCTGGCCTCCAGTTCAGGCCTCCTCCAATCAGGGCCTGGGAGCCGGCGGAGATTGGGGTGAAATGGGCAAAACTGGGAGAAATTCTGGAGTTGGGGCAGCAGGGGCGGAGTTTGGGGTAAAATGGCTGAGATTTGATGAAAAGGGCTGAGATTTGGTGGAGAGATCAGAGGACTATGGGATATTTGGGAACAAAGTGGAGGGATTTTGGACCAAGATCAGGACCAGAAATAAATGCAACACCAACAGTACCATGACTACTGGCACAACCACCATCAATGCATTTGGCACAGAAATAGGATCCGGAATCCTCGTCCTTGAGGTTGTTCATGGTCAGCATTACCGAGCTCAGCCCGTTGTCCCTGGAGATCGTGAACCGGCCCTTGAACGATGGCGCGTAGGCGATGCTGCCACCATTGTCCTTGATCCCTACCACGAATTCCAGCCCCTGCCCGGGCCTCTGGCGCACCCAGAACATGGAGAAACTCCCGAAATTTTACCCGGACCCTTGGCAGAGAAGGCACAGGGACCCCCCGGGGGGCTGGAGGTCCCCCCCGCACTCCAGCAGGGTCACGGCCGCCCAGAGCCCTGCGCGACAAAGGGGAGATGGGCACCAGGCCCAACTGTGCCATTCTCATTCCCAGCACAGAGTCAGACACCATTCCCTCTCTCTCTCTGTCTCTCTCTCTCTCCCTCTATCTCTCTGTCTCTCTCTCTCCCCCTCTCTCTCTCTGTCTCTCTCTTTCTGTCACAGGATTTTTCCTGGAGTAGCACAGAGAGAAGATGAAGATGAAACAATTCCCATCTCTCCTCGCTGCTCCTGCTGTTTCTGCACATGTGGAAAGTGTCAGGGAGATTGTTCCCCTCCAGGGATTCATCATTTGGGTTCTGCTGCAGATTGTTTTGTTTCCTTGGCCAATGGGCTCCAAGCCGTGACCTGGCTCTGTCAGACTCTCATGGGGATTCTTTAGGATTTTTTCGTGTCTTTTGTACGGAATTCTTTTAGTATCTCTTTAGTATAGATGTAATATAGCATTAATGAGATATAATATAGAATTATTGAGATATAATATAGTATAAATGACATGTAATATACCATTAACGAGATGTAATATAGTATTAAAGAGATGTAATATAGTATTAATGAGATATAATATAGTATTGAGTTATAATATAGAATTAATGAGATTTAATATATTATTAATGAACTATAATATATTATTAATGAGATGTAATATAGTAATAATGAGATATAATATTGTATTAATGTAATAAAATATAATATTAATGTAATATAGTAGAAATCTAATAGAGCAATTGTTCAGCATTCTGCATAATGGAGTCAGATGCTGTGACCCTGCTGGAGTGCGGGGGGCACCTCCAGCCTCCCAGGGGGTTCCCTGCGCCTCCTCTGCCGAGGGTTTGGGTTCAGTTTTGGGAATTTAGGGATGCAGTGGGTCCGCCAGAGAGCCGGGCAGGTGACGGAGTGGCTGGGGGGGATTAAGAGTGATGGTTCCAGCACCGGCTACGCACCCTCAGTAAAGGGCCAGGTCCCGATCTCCAGGGACAACGGGCAGAGCTCGGTGACGCTGACCATGAACAACCTCAAGGACAAGGATTCTTCCACCTATTTCTGTGCCAAATCTGTTAATGTTTGGTATGATCCTGCTGGTGTTGTTTATAGATTTGACTGCGCCCCTCATCCCCGTGTCCCCCCCTGTCCCCGTTGCCCAGCCCTCTCCCCCAAACCCCCAGCCCACACCCAGCCCTTGACCATTGATCCCAACCTTGCTCTGCTCGGACCCAATTCTCACACGCTGACCCCAAACCACAACTCCTGACCCCAAATCTCCTCTTTGTGCCCTGAACTTTGAATTAAAAGTGGAGATTTAAGGCCAAGGTTAAGACTTGGGTCAACTTTCTTGCCAGGTATGGAGAATTTGGTGAAGAACCGCTCTAGGGTTGGGACAGAGTCAGGAATGGGCAAAAGGGTTTGGGTTTTAGGGAAGGGTCTTGGATTTGGGAGCCGGTCGGGACACGGCCACGGGGTCCGGACCAAAACCATCCACACCAGCACCAGTACCCCAATTGTTACAAGCAGATTTCCCGCAGAAATAGGATCCGGAATCCTCGTCCTTGAGGTTGTTCATGGTCAGCGTCACCGAGCTCTGCCCGTTGTCCCTGGAGATCCTGAACCAGCCTTTGACTGAATCCGCGTACCAGGCGCTGCCACCAGTGTTGATCCCTGCAAGCCACTCCAGCCCCTGCCCGGGTCTCTGGCGCACCCAGTTCATGTTGTAGCTCCTGAAACTGAACCCGGACCCTCGGCAGAGGAGGCGCAGGGACCCCCCGGGGGGCTGGAGTTCCCCCCCGCACTCCAGCAGGGTCACGGCCGCCCGGAGCCCTGCGGGAAAAGGGGAGATGAGGATCAGAAACCTGATTGGTCCAGAGACTCCTAGTGGGCAGGGCCAGCTGGACAAAGGGACGAGACCCAACTTTGAGGAGAATGATGAACTCCAAGTGTCCCAGTTTGGGGCTGATAATCAGGATTTGGGTCAAGGGTTGAGCTTTGGCCTCATCCCCATCTCCCCTTTGTCCCGCAGGGCTCCGGGCGGCCGTGACCCTGCTGGAGTGCAGGGGGCACCTCCAGCCCCCCGGAGGGTCCCTGCGCCTCCTCTACCTAGGGTTCAGGTTCGATTTTGGCAGTTTCTCCATGTTCTGGGTTCGCCAGAGACCCGGGCAGGGGCTAGAGTGGCTCGCAGGGATCAGCAGTGATGGTGCCAACACCTTCTACCCGCCATCGTTAAAGGGCCGGTTCACGATCTCCAGGGACAACGGGCAGAGCTCGGTGACGCTGACCATCAACAACCTCAAGGACGAGGGTTCCGGATCCTATTTTTGCGCCAAATGTTACAGCAGTGGCTGTGGTAATGGCGCTTATGCTTATGGTGTTGATGGTGGTTGTGGTCCCAAGCCCTTTTTCCTATGTTCCCAAGTATCACAAAATTCTCTGATCCTTCCCAAAAATTCCCAGCCCTTCTCCTGAAATCTCAGCCCTTTTCCCCCAAACTCTGCTCCTGCTGCCCAACTCTCGACTTTCCCCTAGTTTTGCCCATTTCACACAAATCTCCTCCAGGTCCCCGGGCCCTGATTGGAAAAGACCTGACCTGCAAGCCAGGGGTGAAGGTTTGGGGCCGATGGTTGATTTTTGGGGCAGGAGCAGGGGAGGGTTTGGGGTCAGTGCTGACCATTGGGGCAAATGGGGGAGATTTGGGACCAAGGGTCAATGGGTGAGGTTTGGGGGAAGCGTCTGGGGACCCGAGACAGGGGGGACATGAGGACGGGGGTGGATCCACAACTGGTGTCTTCAGCATATGCAGCAGCATCACCCCAATTGCCAGCAGCAGCAGATTTGGCACAGAAATAGGATCCGGAATCCTCGTCCTTGAGGTTGTTCATGGTCAGCGTCACCGAGCTCTGCCCGTTGTCCCTGGAGATCCTCACCGCGCCCCTGACTGATGGCACATAGCCAGTGTCAGCATCATCGTTCCTGATCCCCGCGACCCACTGCAGCCCCTGCCCGGGTCTCTGTCGGGCCCATTGCATGGAAAAACTCCAAAAACTGAAACCGGACCCTCGGCAGAAGAGGTGCAAGGAACCCCCGGGGGGCTGGAGGTCCCCCCCGCACTCCAGCAGGGTCACGGCCGCACGGAGCCCTGCGGAACAGAGGGGAGATGGGGATGAGGCGATGCAAAAGTCAGGCAGAGGTGTCCAATTAATTAATGGGTTGATTGGGGCTAATTGCAGGGTGTAAGGAACTTTTCAATACAGGAAACCTCTGCTGGACATTTGAGGCAACAAAAAAGAATTCTGGGGCAAAACCAGTGAAGGTTTGGGGATGGGGGAGCTGCTGTGACCCTGCTGGAGTGCGGGGGGGATCTCCAGCCCCCCGGGGGGTCCCTGCACCTCTTCTGCCGAGGGTGCGGGTTCAGTTTTGGGAATTTTGGGATGGGCTGGTATCGGCAGAGACCCGGTCAGGGGCTGGAGTGGCTCGCGAGTATCCACAGCAGTGGCAGCACCGACTACGCACCATCAGTGCAGGGTCGGTTCAGGATCTCCAGGGACAACGGGCAGAGCTCGGTGACGCTGACCATGAACAACCTCAGGGACAAGGATTCCGGATCCTATTTCTGTTCCAAGGACACCGATGGTCACGGTGCTTATGCTGATGCTGCTTGGGGAGGATGGAACAGGAAGGCGTTATCAATGTGATTGCCTGGCAAAAGATTTTGAGAATATGGAAACCATCAGCGAGATTGAAATGAAAGTAAGTTTTGAGATCCCTCAGTGACTGAACAACTGGAAAACAACGGTGTGGCTGCCTGAAGGTGATCCCCTTTTGATGGAACAACACCCTCTGCCTGCAGACAGCTCCAAGGGTCAGAGCAGACCCCACAGCTTGGCAGAAGGGGCCAAAGAGGAGTTTTTAGGGTTTAATGTTACTCCAAAAAGGAGTTTTTAGCATTTGAAATTAGTCCAAAGAGGAGTTTTTAGGGTTTAAAATTACTCCAAGAAGGAGTTTTTAGGGTTTCCAAAGAGCAGGTCTTAGGCTTGGCAGAAGGGGCCCAAAGAGGAGTTTTTTGGGTTTAAAATGTAATAGAGTATGGTAATGAAACGATTCTTATAGACTGTATGTAAATGCTTTAGGGTTTGTATATTGTACTAGATTGGTTAGTGAGAATTAGAATATTCTACAGAGAAGAAGATTTATTTTATTGTGGTGGGAACCTCACTCTCTTACCCTTTTATGCTCTTAGAGTTTTATGTTCTTACTCTTTTACACTCTTACCATTTTATTCACTGACTCTTTCACTCTCTTACCCTTTTTATTCTCTCACCCTTTTACTCATTTACCTTTTTTACTTTCTTACTCTCTCACCCTCTCATCCTCTCTCCCCTCTCTTCTCTCAGCCCTGCTCCAGCTGTGCCTGGCAGCTCCCAGCAGGGCCCTGCAGTTCGTCCTTCACAATAAAAACCAAATGCCAAAACCTGGCTGCAGAGATCTCTCGTGTCCGTCCGTCTGTCCTGACCGTCCTGCGCCCTGATGGTCCAACAGTGCTGGTTGGAGAATGGGGCCAAGCCCGGCACGTCAATAGCACCAGCATCAGAACTACAACCACCAGTGTAAGCATATTTGGCACAGAAATAGGATCCGGAATCCTCATCCTTGAGGTTGTTCATGGTCAGCGTCACCGAGCTCTGCCTGTTGTCCCTGGGCATCCTGAACCGGCCCTTGACCGACGGCGCGTAGGCGGTGTAGCCACCAGTGTTGCTGATATCTGCAACGTATTCCAGCCTCTGCCCGGGTCTCTGGCGGACCCAGAAAATTTCATAACTCCCAAAACTGAACCTGGACCCTCGGCAGAGGAGGATCAGGGACCCCCCGGGGGGCTGGAGGTCCCCCCCGCACTCCAGCAGGGTCACGGCTGCCCGGAGCCCTGCGGGACAAAGGGGAGATGGGGATGAGGCCAAAGCTCAACCCTGGAACCCAAAATCCCTACAACTGACTCCAAATTGAGACCCTTAGAGTTCATCCTCCTTCTCGTCCTGCTCCTGCTGGCCCTCCCAGGTGGATCCCACACCCTTCTTCTGGCACAGCAGTGCCCACTTTGTGTCCACAACCAATCCAGCTCCTCATCCCCATCTCCCCTTTGTCCCGCAGGGCTCCGGGTGGCCTTGACCCTGCTGGAGTCTGGGGGGATCTCCAGCCCCCCGGGGGCTCCCTGTGCCTCCTCTGCCGAGGGTCCGGGTTCAGTTTCGGGAGCTACGACATATTCTGGGTGCGCCAGAGACCCGGGCAGGGGCTGGAATACATCGCGTGGATCAGCAACGATGGTGGCAACTCCGGCTACGCGGATTCAGTCAAAGGCCGGTTCAGGATCTCTAGGGACAACGGGCAGAGCTCGGTGATGCTGACCATGAACAACCTCAAGGACGAGGATTCCGGATCCTATTTCTGTGCCAAATGTTACAGCAGTCTCTGTGGTCCAACTTATATTTATGCTGCTCTTATTGACCATGCCAGTGGTGGACCCACCCCAGCCGTTGAAAACCCTAAAACATCCCAAAATTCCCAAACTTTACCCACAAATCTTTAGTCTAAAAGGTTAATCTTGACCATTTCCCCCCCAGTCTCCACCATCACTGCCTCACCTCTCAAATCTCTCTGCACCTTTCAGCTTTTGTCCCAAATGTCAAAGCTTTATCCCCAAAGCTCTGCCCTGTGTGCCCCTGATCTCAGCGGGGTTCACTTGTGACCATTGGCCCCAAACTCAGCTGGTTCTGCCCCAAATCTCCGCTCCTGGACCCAAACCTCAGCTATGGGCTCCAAGGCTCAACCAATGTCCCCAAATCTGGGTGCAAACGGTTGAGATTTGGGAAAAATGGGCAAGATTTGGGTCCGTGGGGGTCAACAATGGGGTCAAGGGTTGGAGTGAAGGACCTGGGGAACGGGGACAGGTGGGAACACGCGGATGGGCACAGGTCAATAGATTCGAGGACACCAGCAGCAATGTTAGTGCTGGACTCCTTGGCAAAGAAATAGGATCTGGAATCCTCGTCCTTGAGGTTGTTCACGGTCAGGGACATGGAGCTCTGCCCGTTGTCCCTGGAGATCGCAACCTGGCCCCGCAGTGACGGCGCATAGTCAGTGCCACCGTGGCTGTCGATGGCGGCCACCCACTGCAGCCCCTGCCCGGGGCTCTGGCGAATACAGTGCAGATCAGAACGGCTGAAATGGAACCCGGCCCCTCGGCAGAGGAGGCGCAGGGACCCCCCGGGGGGCTGGAGGTCCCCCCCGCACTCCAGCAGGGTCACCGCCGCTCGGAGCCCTGCGGGACAAAAGAGAAATGGGGATGAGGCTGAAGCTCAACCCTTGACCCCAATCCTGACTCTTGTCCCAAAACTGGGACCCTTCGAGTTCATCATTCTCCCCCCAGGTGGGTCCTGTCCCTTTTTTCCTGATGGCCACGCCCACTTTGAGGTTCTTTACCAATCAGGTTTCTCATGCCCATCTCCCCTTTGTCCCGCAGGGCTCCGGGCGGCCGTGACCCTGCTGGAGTGTGGGGGGGACCTCCAGCCCCCCAGGGGGTCCCTGATCCTCCTCTGCCAAGGGTCTGGGTTTGATTTTGACAAATTTGACCTGTTCTGGACCCAGCAGAGACCCGGGCAGGGGCTGGAATTCACCGCCAACATCGACTACCGCAGTGCGGGTTACACCTTCTACGCGCCGTCGGTGCAGGGACGGTTCACGATCTCCAGGGACAACGGGCAGAGCTCCATGTCCCTGACCATGACCAACCTCAAGAACGAGGATTCTGGATCCTATTTCTGCGCCAGATCTGCTCCTGGTTACTATAATTATGGTGCTGGTTATACTGACGGTGAATGTCACCCCATCCCCAACCAGCATTAGGAGTAGCACCGTAAACATCAGCACCCTTGGAACAGAAATAGGATCCGCAATCCTCGTCCTTGAAGTTGTTCACGGTCAGCGTCACCGAGCTCTGCCTGTTCTCCCTGGAGATCGTGAGCCGGCCCTTGACCGATGGCGCGTACTCGGTGCTAGAACCAGCAGAGCTGCTGATCCTTGCGACAAATTCCAGCGCCTGCCCGGGTCTCTGGTGGATCCAGGCCATGTCAAAACTGCCAAAATTGAACCCAGGCCCTCGGCAGAGGAGGTGCAGGGACCCCCCGGGGGGCTGGAGGTTCCCCCTTGCACTCCAGCAGGGTCACGGCCACCCGGAGCCCTGTGGGACAAAGGGGAGATGGGGATGAGAAACCTGATTGGTTGAGGAACTCAAAGTGGAAGTTGCCAGTTGGAAAAGAGTCGGGACCCACTTTGGAGAAGGATTAGAATATCCAGGGGTCAGAATTTGGGGACAATAATCACAATTTTGGTCAAGGATTGAGCTTTTTCCATCCCCATCTCCCCTTTGTCCCGCAGGGCTCCGGGCGGCCGTGACCCTGCTGGAGTGTGGGGGGGAACTCCAGCCCCCCGGGGGGTCCCTGCGCCTCCTCTGCCGAGGGGCCGGGTTCAGTTTCGGGAGTTTCACCATGTTCTGGGTGCGCCAGAGACCCGGGCAGGGGCTGGAGTGGGTGGCAGCGATCTGGAGCGATGGTGGCACCATGTACGCCTCATCAGTCCAGGGCCGGGTCACGATCTCCAGGGACAATGGGCAGAGCTCGGTAACGCTGACCATGAACAACCTCAAGGACGAGGATTCTGGATCTTATTTCTGTGCCAAATGTTTTGATGCTGGTTCCTATGATGGTACTGCTGGTGCTGAATGCTTTGACCCCATCCCCATCCCTATTTCCCCCCCTGTCCCCATTGCCCAGACCCTTCCCCCAGACCCCCAGCCCACACCCAGCCCTTGACCATTGATCCCAACCTTGCTCTGCCCCAGCCCCCGCTCTCCCCCGCTGACCCCAAACCACAACTCCTGACGCCAAATCTCCTCTTTGTGCCCCAAAACTTCGTATTAAAAAGGACAATTTCAGGCCAAGTGTCAAGATTTGGGTCAACCAGTTGGCCAGGAAATGAGAATTTGGGGAAGGATCAGCCCAGGGCTGGGACACAGGGACAGGAATGGCATCAGGGGTTGGGGTTTGGGGGATGGGTCTGAGACATGAGGGCAGGTGGGGACACCGGGATGAGTGTGGGGACAACACTGGCATTGTCAACATAACCAGCAGCAGTGCCACCAGCACAAGTATCAGCATATTTCCCGCAGAAATAAACGGCGGAATCCTCGTCCTTGAGGTTGTTCATGGTCAGCGTCACCGAGCTCTGCCCGTTGTCCCTGGAGATCCTGAACCGGCCCTGCACCGACGGTGTGTAGTAGGTGCTGCCATCGTTTTTGATCGCTGCGAGCCACTCCAGAGTTTGCCCAGGTCTCTGGCGAAACCAACCGAATCCAAAACTGCCGAAACTGAACCCGGACTCTCGGCAGAGGAGGTACAGGGACCCCCCGGGGGGCTGGAGGTCCCCCCCGCACTCCAGCAGGGTCACGGCTGCCCGGAGCCCTGCCGGACAAAGGGGAGATGGGGATGAGAAACCTGATTGGCTGTGGGCATGAATGGGTGGCAGTGCCAGCTTGAAAAAGGGGCGGGACCCACCTGGGAGGAGGAGGATGAAGTCCAAGGCTCCCAATTTGTGGCCAAGAGTCAGGATTTGGGTCAAGGGTTGAGCTTTGGCCTCATCCCCATCTCCCCTTTGTCCCACAGGGCTCCGGGCAGCTGGGACCCTGCTGGAGTGCGGGGGGGACCTCCAGCCCCCCGGGGGGTCTCTGACGTTTTTGTGCCACGCCTCTGGGTTCACTTTCAGGAGCTATGGAATGTTCTGGATGCGCCAGAGACCCGGACAGACACTGGAATACATCGCCAGTATCAGCAGCAGCGGTGGCAGCACCAACTACGCGCCGTCGTTCAAGGGCCGGGTCACGATCTCCAGGGACAACGGGCAGAGCTCGGTGACGCTGACCATGAACCACCTCAAGGACGAGGATTCCGCCACCTATTTCTGTGCCAAACGTGCTACTGGTGGTTATGGTGATGCTGCTGCTTATAGTGACGATGGCCGTGGTGGATCCATCCCAATCTCCGTGTCCTCACCTGTCTGCAAACTGAGACTCTTCCTTCAAATTGTCAGCCAAACCTCAGCCCTTGACCCTTTGTCCCAAATCTCCCCCATTTGCACCAATGGTCAGCACTGACCCCAAATCCTCCCCTGCTCCTGCCCCAAAACTCAACCATTGGCCCCAAACCTTCACCCCTGGCCTCCAGTTCAGGCCTCCTCCAATTAGGGCCCAGGGAGCATGGGGAGATTTGGATGGAATGGGCAGAACTGGGAGAAAGTGGGAAATTGGGGCAGTAATGCAAGAGTTTGGGGGTAAATGGTGAGCATCTGAGGAGAAGGTCTGGGATATTGGGAAAGGATCTGCGGGGATCGGAGACATTTGGTGACCATCATGGCGGGTGGGACCGTTGCCGGAACTGTCACTAAGAGCAGCGCTATCATAACCGTAACTACTAACAGTACCGCGTTTGGCACAGAAATAGGATCCGGAATCCTCATCCTTGAGGTTGTTCATGGTCAGCGTCACCAAGCTGTGCCCGTTGTCCCTGGAGATCCTGAACCGGCCCTTGACCGACGGCGCGTAGTCGGTGTAAGCACCACTGCTGATACTCGCAATGTATTCCAGCGTCTTCCCAGATTTCTGTCGGATCCAGATCATTCCAAAATCCCCAAAATCGAACCCGGACCCTCAGCAGAGGAGGCGCAGGGACCCCCCAGGAGGCTGGAGGTCCCCCCCACACTCCAGCAGGGTCACGGCCGCCCGGAGCCCTGCGGGACAAAGGGGAGATGGGGATGAGGCCCCGGATCCGGGAGTGGGCTGTGCTGGGGGTGACCAGATCCAAAAAGGGGCCTCGACCCACCTGGGAGGGGCAGCACGATCGGGAGGAGGAGAAAGTTCCAAAATTTGGGGTCAACATCAGGATCTGCATGCAGGAATCAACATTTGGGTGGATTTGTTCCCTCATCCCCATCTTCCCTTTGTCCCGCAAGACTCCGGGTGGCCGTGACCCTGCTGGAGTGCGGGGGGGAGCTCCAGCCCCCCGGAGGGTCCCTGCACCTTGTCTGCCGAGGGTCCGGGTTAAGTTTCGGACAATTTGGGATGGGCTGGGTGCGCCGGAGACCTGGGCAGGGGCTGGAATACATTGCCAGTATCAGCAGCCGTGGCAGCACCTACTACGCGCCGTTGTTCAAGGGCCGGCTCACGATCTCCAGGGACAACGGGCAGAGCTCGGTGACGCTGACCATGAACAACCTCAAGGACGAGGATTCCGGATCCTATTTCTGCATGAAATCTTCTTGTACCAGTTGTTGGCCTACGGTGCTGGCCATGGCCTGGAGCTCTGGTATTTGATCCGCACTCATCATTGTGTCCCCAAACACTCGAGTTTTGCCCCAAAGCTTGGCCTTTGTTCCAGTTTTTGACTCCTTGTTGTCCTAGGGTGTCAGTAGGTGTCTTGCATCCCCTGTAATTTTTCTTTTTTGCTGGCTATTATGGTCTGTGACTTCAAGAATGGCTCTAAGAGAGAATATTTTGTTTTGATTTGTTTTGTTTTTGTTTTCTTTTATTTTGTTATCAGCTTTTCACTCCCCCAGCAGTCGGTGGCACACAGAGACGGGGCAGTACGCAGGGCATATTTTGCTCTTGCTTTTTGCTCCTGCTCTTTAGTTAGTTCAACCTGGCAATCAGAATTTTCCCTGGACTGTTTCTCCTTTCCCTTTTTTGGACCTGCTCTGGACTAGGACCTGGGAAACACCGAGAGTTTGCACCTTGTGGCTGCAGCAGCTGCCCCAGCACCGGAGGGACTGATAACAGAGCGACAAACCCTGAGGGAGACTTTCTGAATTTGTCATCTTTTTCAGAGCAATGAAGGAGTGGCGTCATTTGGTGTTGTTTATTTTCTGTGCTGGGGGGTGCCGTGCCTGTGAAATAAACAGGTGCTTACTACTCATTTCTGAAGAATCCCTCCCGAACCGGTTGGGAGGAGCAGGTGTGTGCTCCTGCCCCTGCTGGCCCTCCGAAGTGGGTCCCACACCTTTTTCTATATGGCCACGCCTGCTTTGAGGTCCTCGACCAATCAGGTTCCTCATCCCCATCTCCCCTTGGTCCCGCAGGGCTCCGGGCGGCCGTGACCCTGCTAGAGTGCGGGGGGGACCTCCAGCCCCCCAGGGGTTCCCTGTGCCTCCTCTGCCGAGGGTCCGGGTTCAGTTTTGGCAGTGTTGCCATGCAATGGGTCCGCCAGAGACCCGGGCAGGGGCTGGAATGGGTCAGGAGCATCAGGAGCGATGGTTCCGGCACCAACCTCGCGCCATCGTTCAAGGATCGCGTCAGGATCTCCAGGGACAACGGGCAGAGCTCGGTGACGCTGACCATGAACAACCTCAAGGACGAGGATTCTGCCACCTATTTCTGTGCCAAAGAACCACGCACTGGTGTTTGGAATGCTGCTGCTGGTTGTCGTTTCATCTCCGTCCCTGTCCCCATTCCCCAGACCCTTCCCTCCAACCCCTGTCCCCACTCCTGACCCTTTGTCTGAAGCCTGCCCTGCTCTGGCCCCAGATCTCAGCTCTGGCCCCAAATCAGGGCCGGTTTCACCCTGACCTCAGCCTCGTCTATGAAATCCCAATCATGGCCCCCAGACTGGACCCACTGTGTGCCAAAATCCCAGTGGTTGAACTGAGTCCTAGCCACGGACCAAATCTGGCCCATTTTCCCCAAATCTCGACCATTTGCACCCAGATTTGGGGACCTTGGTTGAGCCTTGGAGCACAGAGCTGAGGTGTGGGGCCAGGAGTTGAGATTGGGGCAGAGCTGGGACACGGGGACAGGAATGGGGTCAGGGGCTGGGGACTGGGGGAAGGGTCTGGGGAACAGGGACGGGAGGGGACACAGCCATGGGGATGGGGTCAACATTATAAGCATTATTCCCCGAATAATTATCAGCAGATTTGGCACAGAAATAGGATCCGGAATCCTCGTCCTTCAGGTTGTTCATGGTCAGCGTCACCGAGCTCTGCCCGTTGTCCCTGGAGCTCCTCATGCGCTCCTTGAATGACGCCCCGTAGTGGGCGCTGGAACCCTCCCTGCTGATCACCACGAGCCACTCCAGTCCCTGCCCGGGTCTCTGACGCATCCAGAAATTTCCGTTGCTCTAGAAATCGCACCCAGCCCCACGGCAGAGGAGGCGCTGGGATCCCCCGGGGGGCTGGAGGCCCTCCCCGCACTCCAGGAGGGTGACGGCAGCCCGGAGCCCTGCGGGACAAAGGGGAGAGGGGGATGAGGAACCTGATTGGTTCAGGGCCAAAAACTGGGAGGGGAAAGCTTGATAAAGGATTGCGACATACCTGGGAGGAGGATGATGAACTCCAAGGGTCCCAGTTTTGGCTAAAGTGTAAGGATTTGGCTCAATGTTCAGCTTTGGCCTCATCCCCATCTCCCCTTTGTCCCGCAGGGCTCCGGGCAGCCGTGACCCTGCTGGAGTGCAGGGGGGAACCTCCAGCTCCCCGGGGGGTCCCTGCGCCTCCTCTGCCGAGAGTCTGTGTTCAATTTCGGGAATTTTGCAATGGGCTGGATCCGCCAGAGACCCGGACAGGGGCTGGAATTCAACGCCAGCATCAACAGCGATGGTTCCAGCACCAGGTACACAGATTTGGTCCAGGGCCGGTTCATGATCTTCAGGGACAACGGCAGAGCTCGGTGACGCTGACCATGAACAACCTCAAAGACGAGGATTCCGGATCCTATTTTTGTGCCAAATGTTACAGCACTGGTTGTGGTCCTAATATTGATGCTGGTTATGATGACGATGCCAGTGGTGGCCCCCTCCTCGATACTGTGCTCACAAAAATCCCAAAACCCCACATTCTACCCCCAAATCTTTAGTGTTGGCCACAAATCTTGACCATTTTCCCCAATCTCCCCAATCATTGTCTCACCTCACACATTTCCATGCGGCTTTCAGAATTAGAAATTATTCTCAAAGGTTCATCCCCAAAACCCTGCCCTTTGTGCCTCAGATCTCAGCGGGGTTCACTTGTTACCATTGGCTCCAAACTCAGCTGGTTCTGCCCCAAATCTCGGCTCTTGGCGCCAAACCTCAGCTCTTGGCTCCAAGGCGCAAACAAGGCTCTCAACCTTTGGTGCAAATGGTCAAGATTTGGGAAAAAAGGGCAAGATTTGGGTCTGTGGGGGTCAACAATGGGGTCAAGGATAAGAGGGAAGGATCTGGTGAACGGGGATGGGGACAGGAACAAAATTAGAACCAGCAGGATGAGCCTCCCAACCGCAACAATCATAGGCGTTTTTGGCACAGCAATAGGATCCGGAATCCTCGTCCTTGTGGTTGTTCATGGTCAGCGTCACCGAGCTCTGTCCGTTGTCCCTGGAGATCGTGACCCGGCCCTTGACCGATGGCGCGTATCTGGGGGTGGAACCATCACTGTTGATCCCCGTGACATATTTCAGCCCCTGCCCGGGTCTATGACGGATCCAGAACATTGCAGATTTTGTGAAATTGAAGCCAGAGGTGCGGCACAGCAACATCAGGGACCCCCCGGCGGGCTGGAGGTTCCCCCGCACTCCAGCAGGGTCACGGCCGCCCGGAGCTCTGCGGGACAAAGGGGAGATGGGGATGAGGAGCTGGATTGGCTTTGCGGTCAAAGTGGGCGCTGCCATTCCAGAAAAAGGGTGTGGGATCCACCTGGGAGGGACAGCAAATTCTGCAGGAGGTGGATGAATTCCAAGGGTCCCAATTTGTGGCCAAGTGTCAGGATTTAGGTCAAGAGTTGAGCTTTGGCTTCATCCCTATCTCCCCTCTGTCCCGCAGGGCTCCGGGCGGCCGTGACCCTGCTGGAGTGCGGGGGGGACCTCCAACCCCCCCGGGGGGTCCCTGCGCCTCCTCTGCCGAGGGTCCGGGTTCGATTTTGGCAGTTTTGGAATGATCTGGATCCGACAGAAAACTGGGAAGACGCTGGAATACATTGCGAGTATCAGCAGTGGTGCTTACACCGACTAAGTGGCGTCGGTCAAGAGCCGGGTCACGATCTCCAGGGACAACGGGCAGAGCTCCGTGTCCCTGACCATGAACAACCTCATGGATGAGGATTCAGGATCCTATTTCTGTGCCAAACGTGGTACTGGTAGTAGTTACGGTTATGATAGTGCTGCTCTTAGTGACAGTTCCGGCAATGGTCCCACCCGCCATGATGGTCACCAAATGTCCCCAATCCCAGCAGATCCGTTCCCAATATCCCAGACCTTCTCCTCAGATGTTCACCACTTACGCCCAAACTCTGGCATTGCTGCCCCAATTTCCCACTTTCTCCCAGTTTTGCCCATTTCACCCAAATCTCCCCCAGCTCCCCAGGCCCTGATTGGAGCAGGCCTGAACTGGAGGCCAGGGGTGAAGGTTTGGGGCCAATGGTTGATTTTTGGGGCAGGAGCAGGGGAGGGTTTAGGGTCAGTGCTGACCATTGGTGCAAATGGGGGAGATTTGGGACAAAGGGTCAAGGGCTGAGGTTTGGGGGACAATTTGAAGGGACAGTCTCAGTTTGCAGACAAGTGAGGACACAGAGATGGGGATGGATCCACCACAGCCATCGTCACTATAAGCAGCAGTACTACAACAACCACTATCAGCATGTTTGGCACAGAAATTGGATCCGGAATCATCGTCATTGAGGTTGTTCATGGTCAGCGTCACCGAGCTCTGCCCGTTGTCCCGGGAGATCCTGAACCGACCCTGCACCGATGGCGCATAGTACGCGCTGGAATCACGGCTCCTGATACTGACGATGTATTCCAGCCCTTGCCCGGGTCTCTGGCGGATCCAGTTCATTCCAAAACTCCCAAAACTTTACCCGGACCCGCGGCAGAGGAGGTGCAGGGACCCCCCGGGGGACTGGAGGTCCCCCCCTGCACTCCAGCAGGGTCACGGCCGCCCGGAGCCCCGCGGGACAAAGGGGAGATGGGGATGAGCCCAAAGCTCAACCCTTGACCCAAACCCTGAACCTTGGCGCCAAATTGGGACCCTTGGAGTTCATCATCCTCCTCCTGCTGCTCCTGCTTCCCCTCCCAGGTGGATCCCACCCCATTTTCCAGTTTAACACCCCCACTTTGACCTCACTGCCAATCAGTTTTCTCATCCCCATCTCCCCTTTGTCCCGCAGGGCTCCAGGCGGCCGTGACCCTGCTGGAGTGCGGGTGGGACCTCCAGCCCCCCGGGGGATCCCTGCGCCTCCTCTGCCGAGGTGCCGGGTTCCGTTTTGGCAGTTTTGGGATGGATTGGGTTCGTCAGAGTGCCGGGCAGGGGCTGGAATGGGTCGCAGGGATCAGGTACGATGGTGGCAGCACCTGGTACGCGGATTCTGTCAAGTGTCGGTTCAGGATCTCCAGGGACAACGGGCAGAGCTCGGTGACGCTGACTATGAACAACCTCAAGGATGAGGATTCCGGATCCTATTTCTGAGCCAAATGTGCTTCTGCTGGTTGGGGTGCTTATGCTGCCGGTGCTGCTGTTGGACCCCATCCCCATCCCTGTGTGCCCCTCCCACCCCGTTCCCTCGATCCTTCCTTTCAGCCCTTGACCCCATTGTTGACCCCCATGGACCCAAATCCAGCCCATTTTCCCCAAATCTCGGCCATTTGCACCCAGGTTTGGGAGACCTTGGTTGAGACTTGGAGCCAAGAGCTGAGGTACATGGCCAGGAGCTGAGATTGTGGTAGAGCCAGTTCAGAGCTGGGAGAGGGGACAGGAACGGGGTCCGGGGCTGGGGTTTGAGGGAAGGATCTTGGGAACGGGTACAGGAGGGGACGTGGGGACAGGAACAGGGCCAAACCTATCAGCAGCAGCACCACCACCAGCACCAGCAGCTTCGGCACAGAAATAGGATCCGGAATCCTCGTCCTTGAGGTTGTTCATGGTCAGCGTCACCGAGCTCTGCCCGGTGTCCCTGGAGATTGTGAACCGGCCCTTGACCGATGGGGCGTAGTTTGTACTGCCACCAGTGTTGCTGATGTAGGCGACGAATTCCAGCCACTCCCCGGGTCTCTGGCGGATCCAGTGCATTCCATAATCCCCAAAACTGAACCCGGCCCCTTGGTAGAGGAGGTGCAGGGACCCCCCGGGGGGCTGGAGGGCCCCCCCGCGCTCCAGCAGGGTCACGGCTGCCCAGGACAAAGGGGAGATGGGGATGAGGAACCTGATTGGTCGAGAGCCTTAAAGTGGGTGTTGCCTGATGAAAACACGGGGAGACCAACCCGGAAGGGCCAGCAGGAGCAGCAGGATGACAAGAAATTGTAATGGGTGGATTGGGGCTTATTGAAGGGTTGAAGGCACTTTACAATACTGGAAATAGCTGTTGGAGATGTGAGGCCAGACAAAGGGAATTTGAGGAAAAACCGGTGAAGGTTTGGGGATGGGGGAGCGGCCGTGACCCTGTTGGAATGCGGGGGGGACCTCCAGCCCCCTGGGCGGTCCCTGCGCCTCCTCTGTCGAGGGTCCGGGTTCAGTTTTGGCAGTTTTGGGATGGGCTGGCATTGCCAGAGACCTGGGCAGGGGCTGGAGCCAGTCGCCAGTATCACCAAAAGTGGCAGCACCTGCTACTCGCCATCGGTCAAGGGCCGGGTCATGATCTCAAGGGACAACGGGTAGAGCTCGGTGGTGCTGACCATGAACAACCTCAAGGACGAGGATTCCGGATCCTATTTCTGTGCCAAATCTGCTTATGGTGCTGGTGCTCATGCTGCTGCTGATATTGACCCTGCCGGTGGTGGCACCACCATTTCTGAGCCCTTCCTGTCCCCAGTCCCCAGACCCTTCCCCAAATTTCAGCCCTTGACCCCATTCCTGACCCTTTCCCCCAGATCTCCCCCATTTCCAGCAACACCAACCACGAAGCCGAAAAGGCCCTTACTTGTTCTGCCCCAAACCAAAGTAAGTTGGCACCAAAATTCGCCCCAAATCCCCACGTTCTCCTCAAATCGCCCCCAGCTCCTCGGGCCTTGATTGTCTGAGCTGGCAAAGGTGAAAATGGGAACTCTTGGAGAGCAAGGTCAGACCTGGAGCTCAGGGGTGAAGGTTTGGGGCCAGTGGTTGAGCTTTCGGCAGGAGCTGGGGAGGGTTTGGGGTCAGTGCTGACCATTGGTGCAAATGGGAACAAAGGGTCAAGGGCTGGGTCAATGGGTGACATTTGGGACGAAAATCAGAACTCTTGGGACTCAATGATGGGAGTGGTGCCAGAACCAGGAGCTGGAGGCCATAACGGGCATCATCAACATAACCAGCACTAGGAACACAACCAGAGCACGAAGCTTTCCCACAGAAATAGGATGCGGAATCCTCATCCTTGAGGTTGTTCGTGGTCAGCGTCACCGAGCTCTGCCCGTTGTCCCTGGAGATCCTGAACCGGCCCTTGACCGATGGTGAGTAGTAGATGGTGCCACCAGTGCTGTAGATCCCTGCGACATATTCCAAACCGGGCCCGGGTCTCTGGCAGATCCAATACATTCCATAATCCCCAAAATTGAACCCAGACCCTTGGCACAGCAACGTCAGGGACCCCCCGGGGGGCTGGAGGTTCCCCCCGCACTCCAGCAGGGTCACGGCCGCCAGGAGCCCTGTGGGAAAAAGGGGATGAGAAACCTCATTGGCTGTGGGGTCAAAGCGGGTGTGGTCTGCTGGAAAATGGGATGTGACTCACCTGGGATAAGGATGATGAACTCCAAGGGTCACAGTTTGGGGCCAAGAATCAGGATTTGGGTCAAGGGTTGAGCTTTTGCCTCATCCCCATCTCCCCTTTGTCCCGCAGGGCTCCGGGCGGCCGTGCGCCTGCTGGAGTGCGGGGGGGACCTCCAGCCCCCCGGAGGGTCCCTGACGTTGCAGTGCCGAGGGTCCGGGTTCAGTTTCGGACAGTTTGGAATGCACTGGATCCACCAGAGACCCGGGCAGACGCTGGAATACATCGCCAGCATCAACAGCAATGGTTCCAGCAGCGGCTACGCACCATCGGTCAAGGGCCGGGTCACGATCTCCAGGGACAACGGGCAGAGCTCGGTGACGCTGACCATGAACAACCTCAAGGACGAGGATTCCGGATCCTATTTCGGTGCCAAAGATGCTGATCGTTATGCTGCTGCTCCTAATGCTGGTTGGGTATGGGGTGATGTTCACCGTCAGTATAACCAGCACCATAATTATAGTAAACAGGAGCAGATCTGGCGCAGAAATAGGATCCAGAATCCTCGTCCTTGAGGTTGGTCATGGTCAGGGACATGGAACTCTGCCCGTTGTCCCTGGAGATCGTGAACTGGCCCTGCACCAACGGCGCGTAGAAGGTGTAACCCGCACTGGCGTAGTAGATGCTAGCGATGAATTCCAGCCCCTGCCCGGGTCTCTGCTGGGTCCAGAACAGGTCAAATTTGTCAAAATCAAACCCAGACCCCAGGCAGAGGAGGATCAGGGACCCCCCGGGGGGCTGGAGGTCCCCCCCGCACTCCAGCAGGGTCACGGCCGCCCGGAGCGCTGCGGGACAAAGGGGAGATGGGCATGAGAAACCTGATTGGTTGAGAACCTCAAAGTGGGCGTGACCATCGGGAAAAAAGGGGCAGGACCCACCTGGGAGGAGGATGATGAACTCCAAGGGTCCCAGTATTGGGACAAGAGTCAGGATTTGGGTCAAGGGTTGAGCTTTGGCCTCATCCCCATCTCCCCTTTGTCCCGCAGGGCTCTGGGCGGCCGTGACCCTGCTGGAGTGCGGGGGGGACCTCCAGACACCCGGGGGGTCCCTGCGCCTCCTCTACCGAGGGTCAGGGTTCGATTTCGGGAGTTTCTCCATGTACTGGATCCGCCAGAGACCCAGGCAGGCTTTGGAATACTTCGCAAGCATCTACTACAGTGGTGCCAACACCTACTACGCGCCATCGGTCAAGGGCCGGGTCACGATTTCCAGGGACAACGGGCAGAGCTCTGTGACGCTGACCATGAACAACCTCAAGGACGAGGATTCCGCCGTTTATTTCTGCGCCCAACGTAGCAGTTATGATTATGTTTCTGCTGGTCCTGCTCGTATTGACAATTCCTGCCGTGGCCCCAGCCCGACTGCAGTCCCAAGTGCCCACAATCCCCCGAGATCTTTCCCCGACTCCCAGCTCTGTTCATCAAATCTTCACCAGTTCTTTGCAAACTCTGCCCCTGCTGCCCCAACTCTCGGCTTTCCCCCAGTTTTGCCCATTTCACCCAAATCTCCCCCATCTCCCCGGGCTCTGTTTGGAGGAGGCCTGAACTGGAGGCCAGGGGTGAAGGTTTGGGGCCAATGGTTGATTTTTGGGGCAGGAGCAGGGGAGGGTTTGGGGTCAGTGCTGACCATTGGGGCAAATGGGGGAGATTTGGGACAAAGGGTCAAGGGCTGAGGTTTGGGGGGAGGGTCTGAGGACTTGGGGCATTTGGGAACCCCTCAAGAAAGGCAGGGCTGAAACCAACATCAATAATATAAGCTTCGTAATGAGAACCAGCATAAGGAGATTTTGCACACAAATAGGATCCGGAATCCTCGTCCTTGAGGTTTTTCATGGTCAGCGTCACCGAGCTCTGCACATTGTCCCTGGAGATCATGACCCGGCCCTTGTCTGAATCCGCGTATCAGGTGCTGCCACCATCGTACATGATCGCCGCGAGCCATTCCAGCCCCTGCCCAGGACTCTGACGAACCCAATCCATTTCAAAAGTCATGAAACTGAACCCGGACCCTCGGCAGAGGAGGCGCAGGGACCCCCCGGGGGGCTGGAGGTACCCCCCGCACTCCAGCAGGGTCACGGCCGCCCAGAGCCCTGCGGGACAAAGGGGAGATGGGGATGAGAAACCTGATTGGAAGTGAGGTCAAAGTGGGGATGTTAAACTGGAAAATGGAGTGGGATCCACCTGGGAGGAGCATCAGGAGCAGGAGGAGGAGGATGATGAACTCCAAGGGTCCCAATGTGGGGCCAAGGTTCAGGGTTTGGGTCAAGGGTTGAGCTTTGGGCTCATCCCCATCTCCCCTTTCTCCCGCAGGGCTCCGGGCGGCCGTGACCCTGCTGGAGTGCGGGGGAGACCTCCAGTCCCCCGGGGGGTCCCTGCGCCTCCTCTGCCAAGGGTCCGGGTTCAATTTTGGTGATTATGGAATGTTCTGGATCCGCCAGAGACCTGGGCAGGCGCTGGAATGCGTCACAGGGATCTGGAGCAGTGGTTCCAAAACCGGCTATGCGCCATCGGTCAAGGGCCGGTTCACGATCTCCAGGGACAACGGGCAGAGCTTGGTGACGCTGACCATGAACAACCTCAAGGACGAGGATTCCGGATCCTATTTCTGCGCCAAATGTGCCGGCAGTAGTTGTGATTGTGATGCTGTTGCTTTTGGTGACCATGGTGTTGGTGGCTGTGGTCCCAGGCCCTCTCCTCTCTGTGCCCAAGTATCACAGAATTCTCTGATCCCTCCCCAAATCCCAGCCCTTTCCCCCAAATCTCTGTCATTTTCACCTAAATTCTGCCATTGCTGCCCCAACTCTGCCCTTCCCCTCAGTTTTTATCATTTTTCCCCAATCTCAGCCTTCTCCTCCTCGCCCTTGGAGAGTTTGCCCAGAACCATGCCCCAGTCCAACAACAAGCACTGAGCCAAAACCCCCAAACGGGTTCTGTCCCAAACCCTCCTGCTTTGGCCCCAAAACTCGCCCGATTCTTCCTCAAATCCCCACTTTGGGCTCCCAGGCACACCCGCTGACCCAAACCTCACCCGCTGTCCCCAAATCTCGGCCCTTTGGGCACTTTTGGGGCACGAGCGGGAGATTTGGGGCCGAGAGCTGAGTTTGGGGCCAGACCCAGGGAAGGGTTTGGGGCCAATGGGCAGCGTTGGGGCAAAGGGGGTGGGGCTGGGGCAAAAGGTCAGGGGTGGGACAGGGGGGTTTGGGAAAGGGTCTGGGGAGAGCTGGGGACAGGGACGGGGCTGAAACCCCAAACACCAACCCAAACACCGGGAGTGAAACCAATGGCATCGGCGGCATTCCAGCCACCATAAGAATCCTTGGCACGGAAATAGGATCCGGAATCCTCGTCCTTGAGGTTGTTCATGGTCAGCGTCACCGAGCTCTGCCCGTTGTCCCTGGAGATCCTGAACCGGCCCTGCACCGATGGCGCGTAGTAGGTGTAGGAACCACCCCAGCTGATCACTGCAACCCATTCCAGCCCCTGCCCGGGTCTCTGGCAGATCCAGCCCATCCCAAAATTCCGGAAACTGAACCCGGACCCTCGGCACAGGAGGCGCAGGGACCCCCAGGGGGGCTGGAATTGCCCCCCGCACTCCAACAGGGTCACGGCCGCCTGGAGCCCTGCGGGAAAAAGGGGAGATGAGGATGAGGCCAAAGCTCAAACCTTGACTCAAATCCTGCCCTTTGGCCCCAAACTGGGACCCTTGGAGTTCATCATCCTTCTCCCAGGAGTGTTCTATCCCCTTGTCCAGCTGGCCACGCCCACTTAAAAGCCCTAGACCAATCATACTTTTGATTTCCATCATCTCCCCTTTGTCCCGCAGCGCTCCGGGCGGCCGTGACCCTGCTGGAGTGCGGGGGGTACCTCCAGACACCCGGGGGGTCCCTGACGTTGCTGTGCCGAGGGTCCGGGTTCAGTTTTGGGAGTTATGGAATGTACTGGATCCGCCAGAGACCCGGGCAGGGTTTGCAATACGTCGCAGGCATCTACAGCACTGGTGGCACCACCTACTACAATCCATCGGTCAAGGGCCGGTTCACAATCTCCAGGGACAACGGGCAGTGCTCGGTGACGCTGACCATGAACAACCTCAAGGACGAGGATTCCACCATTTATTTCTGCGCCAAGTGTGCTGCTAATAATTACTCTGAACATGCTGCTCGTAGTTACGATGCCCATGGTGTCCCCATCCCCATCCCTGTGTCCCCCCCCTCCCCATTGCCCAGACCCTTCCCCCAAACCCCCAGCCCACACCCAGCCCTTGACCATTGATCCCAACCTTGCTCTGCCTTGGCCCCAATTCCCACCCGCTGACCCCAAATCACAACTCCTGACCCCAAATCTCTACTTTGTTCCCCAAAACTTGATTCTGAAAGTGGATACTTCTGGTCAAGGGTTAATCTCGGTCAACTTTGTGGTCAAGAGTGGAGAATTTGGGGCAGAGCCAGAGCAGGGTTGGGAGATGGCGTCAGAAATGGGGTCAGGGGAAGAGTTTGGGAGAAGGGTCTGGGGAACCCGGACAGGTGGGGACACAGCCATGGGAAAGGGGTCAAAACCATAAACAGAAGCTGGAGCATATTTTCCTTCTGGAGCTTTGCCACAGAAATAGGATCCGGAATCCTCGTCCTTGAGGTTGTTCATGGTCAGCGTCACCGAGCTCTGCCCGTTGTCCCTGGAGATCGTGAATCGGCCCTGCACCAAATCCCCATAGAAGGTGTCTCCATCGTAGTCAATCCGTGCAACCCATTCCAGCCCCTGCCCAGACATCTGGCGAACCCAAATAAAACTGGTTTGTCCAAAATCAAACCCAGACCCTCGGCAGAGGAGGCGCAGGGACCCCCCGGGGGGCTGGAGGTCCCCCCCGCACTCCAGCAGGCTCACGGCCGCTCCCCCATACACAAACCTTCACTGGTTTTGCCCATAATTCCCTTTGTCTGGCCCCAAACATCCAACAGAGGTATCCTGAATGGTAAAGTGCCTTAAACCCTGCATTTAGTCCCAATCCACCCACTGATTAATTGGACACCTCTGCCTTACTTTTGCATCGCCTCATCCCAATCTCCCCCCTGTCCCGCAGGGCTCCAGGTGGCCGTGACCCTGCTGGAGTGCGGGGGGGATCTCCAGCCACCCAGGGGTTCCCTGCGCCTCCTCTGCCGAGGCTCCAGGTTCAGTTTTGGGAGCTACAACATGTTCTGGGTGCGCCAGAGACCCAGGCAGGGGCTGGAATGGCTTGCGTGGATCAGGAACGATGGTGGCAACTCCGGCTACGCGGATTCAGTCCAGGGCCGGTTCAGGATCTCCAGGGACAACGGGCAGAGCTCTGTGACGCTGACCATGAACAACCTCAAGGACGAGGATTCCGGATCCTATTTCTGCGCCAAATGTTACAGCAGTGGTTGTGGTCCTAATATTGCTGCTGTTTATGGTGACGATGCCAGTGGTGGCCCCTCCACGATACTGTGCCCACAAACCTCCCAAAACCTCACATTCTACCCCCAAATCTTTAGTGTTTGCCACAAATCTTGACCATTTTCCCCAATCTCCCCAATCATTGTCTCACCTCACACATTTCCATGCGGCTTTCAGAATTCAGAAATTATTCTCAAAGGTTCATCCCCAAAACCCTGCCCTTTGTGCCCCAGATCTCAGCGGGGTTCACTTGTTACCATTGGCTCCAAACTCAGCTGGTTCTGCCCCAAATCTCAGCTGCTGGAACCAAAACTCAGATCTTGGCTCCAAGGCTCAACCAAGGCTCTCAACCCTCGGTGCAAATGGTCAAGATTTGAGAAAAATGGTCCAGATTTGGGTCTGTGGGGGTCAACAATGGGGTCAAGGGTAGGAGGGAAGGACCTGGTGAACGGGGGTGGGGACGGGACCAAAATTAGAACCAGCAGGATGAGCCTCCCAACCGCAACAATCATAGGCGTTTTTGGCACAGCAATAGGATCCGGAATCCTCGTCCTTGTGGTTGTTCATGGTCAGCGTCACTGAGCTTTGCCCGTTGTCCCTAGAGATCCTGATCTGGCTCCTGAACGATGGCAAATAGTAGGTGCTGCCATCGCTTTGGATCCCTCCGATGTGTTCCAGCCCCTGCCCGGGTCTCTGTCGATACCAGACCATCCCAAAACTGCCAAAACTGAACCCGGACCTCGATAGAGGAGGCGCAGGGACCCCCCGGGGGGCTGGAGGTCGCCCCCGCACTCCAGCAGGGTCACGGCCGCCCGGAGCCCTGTGGGACAAAGGGGAGATGGGGATGACGCCAGAGCTCAACCACTGACCCAAATCCTGACTCTTGGCCTAAAACTGGCATCCTTGGAGTTCATCACCTTCGCCCAAGGAGGATTCTACCCCTTTGTCCAGCTGGCCATACCCACTTGGGGGCCCTTGACCAATCAGACTTTTGATTTCCATCATCTCCCCTTTCTCCCGCAGGGCTCTGGTCGGCAGTGACCCTGCTGGAGTGCGGGGGGGACCTCCAGCCCCCCGGGGGGTCCCTGCGCCTCCTCTGCTGAGGGTCCAGGTTTGATTTTGGGAAATTTGCAATGGGCTGGGTTCGACAGAGACCCGGGCAGGGGCTGCAATTCATCGCCAGCATCAACAGTGGTGGTGACAGCACCAGGTACGAAGGTTCAGTCAAGGGCCGGTTCAGGATCTCCAGGGACAACGGGCAGAGCTCGCTGACGCTGACCATGAACAACCTCAAGGACGAGGATTCCGGATCCTATTTCTGTGCCAAATCTTCTGGCGTTAGCACTGCTCTTACTGCTTTTTATGGGTGGTTGGGTTGGTGTTTGGGGTCCTGGCGCCGTCCCTGTCCTCAGCTGTCCCCAGACCCTTCCCCAAACCCCCCTGACCCACCCCTGACCCTTTGTCCCAGCCCCGCCCCCTTAGCCCCAACGCTCTCCATTGGCCCCAAACCCTCCCCTGGGTCTGGCCCCAAACTCAACTCTCGGCCCCAAATCTCCCCCTCGTTCCCCGAAAGATCTCAAAGGGTCGAGATTTGGGGTGAAAGTGGGCAAATCTTGGCACCAACTCAGTTGGGTTTGATGCAGAACCAGTCGGGGTTTGGGGTCTGTGGTCACCATGGGTGAAAATGGGGGAGATTTTGGACAAACGGTCAAGAATGGGGTCAAGGGCTGAGATTTGGAAAAAGAGTCTGGGCCTTTGGGGACAGGAGGGGACAATGAGATGGGGATGGATTTAACACTGCCCTCTTCAATATATTCAGAAGCATTGCCAGAAGCATCATAAGCATCCTTGGCACAGAAAGAGGTGGCGGAATCCTCGTCCTTGAGGTTGTTCATGGTCAGCGTCACTGAGCTCTGCCCGTTGTCCCTGGAGATCGTGAATTGGCCCCGCACTGATGGGCTGCACATGGTGCTGCCACTGGTGCTGATCCCTGCCACCCACTCCAGTTCTTCCCCAGGGTACTGCCTCATCCAGCCCATCCCAAAATTCCCAAAATCGAACCCGGACCCTCGGCAGAGGAGGCGCAGAGAACCCCCGGGGGGCGGGAGGTGCCCCCCGCACTCCAGCAGGGTCACGGCCGCCCGCAGCCCTGCGGGACAAAGGGGAGATGATGGAAATCAAAAGTCTGATTGGTCAAGGGCCTCCAAGTGGGTGTGGCCAGCTGGACAAACGGGTATAATTCACCTGGGAGGATGACGAATTCTAAAGATCCCAATTTGGGGCCAATAGTCAGGATTTGGGTCAAGGGTTGAGCTTTGGCCCCATCCCCATCTCCCCTTTGTCCCGCAGGTCTCCGGGCGGCCGTGACCCTGCTGGAGTGCGGGGGGACCTCCAGTCCCCCGGGGGGTCCCTGCGCCTCCTCTACCGAGGGTCCAGGTTCAGTTTCGGCAGTTTTGCGATGGTCTGGTATTGCCAGAGACCCGGGCAGGGGCTGGAATTCATCGCCAGCATCAACAGTGATGGTGGCAGCACCAGGTACGCGGATTCCATCAAGGGTCGGTTCAGGATCTCCAGGGACAATGGGCAGAGCTCCGTGACACTGACTATGAACAACCTCAAGGACGAGGATTCCGGATCCTATTTGTGTGCCAAACACGATGCTACTGGTGCTAGTGGTTATGTTGCTGATATTTGTGGTTTCAGCCCCAACTGTGTCCCGGTTCCCCAGACCCTTCCCTCCAACCTCTGACCCCACTCCTGTTCCTTTCACCCTGCTCTGGCCCCCAATCTCAGCTCCTGGCCCCAAATCTCAGCTCCTGGCCCCAAATCAGGGCCGGTTTAACCCCCAGCTCAGCCTCGGCCCTCCAACCCAACCATTGCCCCCAGACTTGTCCAGTTTTACCCCAAATCTCCCCTGCAGGCACCGAGTAACAGCGACTGACCCAAATCTGCCCCTTGGCCTAACATCAGGAATTTTGGGCTAAAATTTGAATTCTTGATCCCTGATCTAAACTTTGGGCCCAATTCCTGACATTTCGGTGACATTTGGGGAACAAGGGCACTGAGTGTAGTTCAGAGGGGACATGTAGTTCAGAGCCGGAGCAGGGCTGGGGCAGAGAGTGAGGAAATGGGGTCAGGGGCTGGGGATTGGGGAAGGGTCTGGGGAACGGGGGCAGGGGGGGATGCAGAGATGGGGACGGGGCCAATACCATAACCAGGATTAACATTTCCAGTAGCAGAGGTTTTGGCACAGAAATAGGATCCGGAATCCTCGTCCTTGAGGTTGTTCATGGTCAGCGTCACCGAGTTCTGCCTGTTGTCCCTGGAGATCCTGAACCGGCCCTTGACTGATGGCGCGTAGTAGATGGCGCCACCAGTGTTTCTGATGTAGGCGAGAATTCCAGCCCCTGCCCGGGTCTCTGGCGCACCCATTGCATTGCAAAACTCCCAAAATTGAACCTGGACCCTCAGCACAGCAAAGTCAGTGACTCCCCGGGGGGCTGGAGGTCCCCCCCGTACTCCAGCAGGGTCACGGCCGCCCGGATCCCTGCAGGACAAAGGGGAGATAGGGATGAGAAACCTGATTGGCTGTGGGCATGAAGTGGGTGTGGCCAGTTGGAAAAGAGTTGGGACCCACTTTGTAGAAGGATGAGAAGGTCCAGGGGTCAGAATTTGGGGCCAAGAGTCAGGATTTGGGTCAAGGGTTGAGCTTTGGCCTCATCCCCATCTCCCCTTTGTCCCGCAGGGCTCTGGTCGGCCATGAGCCTGCTGGAGTGCAGGGGGCACCTTCAGCCCCCCTGGGGGTCCCTGCGCCTCCTCTGCCGAGCATCTGGGTTCAGTTTCGGGAGCTACGACATGAACTGGATGCGCCAGAGACCCGGGCAGGGGCTGGAGTGGCTCACAGGGATCAACACTGGTGGCAGCACCTGGTACGCGCCGTCGGTCAAGGGCTGGTTCATGATCTCCAGGGACAACGGGCAGAGCTCGGTGACACTGACCATGAACAACCTCAAGGACGAGGATTCCGGATCCTATTTCTGCATGAAATCTGCTTATAACAATTGGGGCACTGGTGCTGGTGTGGATGGTTTTGGTCTGGACCCCGTGGCCGTGTCCCGACCTGCTCTCAAATCCAAGACCCTTCCCTAAAACCCAAACACTTTTGCCCAATCCTGACTCTGTCCCCACCCTAGAGTGGTTCTTCACCAAATTCTCCATACCTGGCAAGAAAGTTGACCCAAGTCTTAACCTTGGCCTTAAATCTCCACTTTTAATTCAAAGTCTTGAGAACAAAGAGGAGATTTGGGCTCAGGAGTTGTGGTTTGTGGTCAGCGTGTGAGAATTGGGTCCGAGGCAGAGCAAGGTTGGGATCAATGGTCAAGGGCTGGGTGTGGGCTGGGGGTTTGGGGGAAGGGTCTGGGCAACGGGGACAGGGGGGGACACGGGGATGGGGGGCAATGTCAAATCTATAAACATCACCAGCAGGATCATACCAAACATTAACAGATTTGGCACAGAAATAGGTGGAAGAATCCTTGTCCTTGAGGTTGTTCATGGTCAGCGTCACCGAGCTCTGCCCGTTGTCCCTGGAGATCGGGACCTGGCCCTTTACTGAGGGTGCGTAGCCGGTGCTGGAACCATCACTCTTAATCCCCCCCAGCCACTCCGTCACCTGCCCGGCTCTTTGGCGGACCCACTGCATCCCTAAATTCCCAAAACTGAACCCAAACCCTCGGCAGAGGAGGCGCAGGGAACCCCCTGGGAGGCTGGAGGTGCCCCCCGCACTCCAGCAGGGTCACGGCATCTGACTCCATTATGCAGAATGCTGAACAATTGCTCTAATTAATCTCTACTATATTACATTAATATTATATTTTATTACATAATTACAATATTATATCTCATTATTACTATATTACATCTCATTAGTAATATATCTCATTAATACTATATTACATCTCTTTAATACTATATTACATCTCCATAATGGTATATTACATCTCATTAATGCTATATTATACCTCATTAATACTATATTATATCTCATTAATTCTATATTATATCCCATTAATACTATATTACATCTCATTAATGCTATACTATATCTCATTAATTCTATATAACTTCTCATTTATGCTATATTATATCTCATTAATACTATATTATATCTCATTAATGCTATATTACATCTGTACTAAAGAGATACTAAAAGAATTCCGTACAAAAGACACGAAAAAATCCTAAAGAATCCCCATGAGAGTCTGACAGAGCCAGGTCATGGCTTGGAGCCCATTGGCCAAGGAAACAAAACAATCTGCAGCAGAACCCAAATGATGAATCCCTGGAGGGGAACAATCCCCCTGACACTTTCCACACGTGCAGAAACAGCAGGAGCAGCGAGGAGAGGTGGGAATTGTTTCCTCTTCATCTTCTCTCTGTGCTGCTCCAGGAAAAATCATGTAAATGAAAGAGAGAGATAGAGAGAGAGAGAGAGAGAGAGAGAGACAGAGAGAGAGAGGGAATGGTGTCTGACTTCGTGCTGGGAATGAGAATGGCACAGCTGGTCCTGGTGCCCATCTCCCCTTTGTCCCGCAGGGCTCCGGGCGGCCGTGACCCTGCTGGAGTGCGGGGGGGAACTCCAGCCCCCCGGAGGGTCCCTGCGCCTCCTCTGCCGAGGGTCCGAGTTTAATTTCGGGAATTTCTCCATGTCCTGGGTGCGCCAGAGGCCCGGGCAGGGGCTGGAATTCGTGGCAGGTATCAAGGACAATGGTGGCAGCATCGCCTACGCGCCATCGTTCAAGGGCCGGTTCAGGACCTCCAGGGACAACCGGCAGAACTCGGTGACACTGACCATGAACAACCTCAAGCACGAAGATTCCGGATCCTATTTCTGTGCCAGATGCATTGATGGTGGTTGTGCCAATAGTGATGGTACTGTTTGTGTGGCATTTATTGCTGGTTCTGATCTTGGTCCCAGATCCCTCCACTTTGTTCCCAAATATCCCATAGTCCTCTGATCTCTCCACCAAATCTCAGCCCTTTTCATAAAATCTCGGCCATTTTACCCCAAACTCCGCTCCTGCTGCCCCAACCCCCGAATTTCTCCCAGTTTTTCCCATTCCTCCCAAATCTCCACCAGCTCCCAAGACCTGGTTGGAGCAGGCCTGAACTGGAGGCCAGGGGTGAAGGTTTGGGGCCAATGGTTGAGTTTTGGGGCAGGAGCAGGGGAGGGTTTGGGGTCAGTGCTGACCATTGGGGCAAAAGGGGACAAAGGGTCAAGGGCTGGGTCAATGGGTGAGGTTTGGGATGAAAAGCAGAACTCTGGGGACTCAATGATGGAAGTGGGATGAAATGCAGGAGCTTGTGACCATCAGGGGCATCGTCAGCATTAGCAGCAGCACCATAACCATCAGCAGCCCTGGCACAGAAATAGGATCTGGAATCCTCGACCTTGAGGTTGTTCATGGTCAGCGTCACCGAGCTCTGCCCGTTGTCCTGGGAGATCGTGAACCGGCCCTTGACCGATGGCGCGTAGTAAGTGGCTCCACAAATGTTTATGTACGCCACGAATTCCAGCCCCCGCCCGGTTCTCTGGCGCACCCAGTTCATGGCAAAATTGCCGAAACTGAACCCGGACTCTCGGCAGAGGGGATGGATTGGCTGTGCGGTGAAAGTTGGCGCTGCCAGTCCAGAGAAAGCGTGTGGGATCCACCCGGGATGACTGGCAGGAATTGCAGGAGGAAGATGGTGAGGTCCAAGGGTCCCAATTTTTGGGCAATATCAGATCAGGATCTGCATGCAAGAATCAACATTTGAGCGGATGTTTTCCATCATCCCCATCTCCCCTTTGTCCCGCGGGGCTCTGGGCGTCCGTGACCCTGCTGGAGACCTCCAGCCCCCCGGGAGGTCCCTGCGCCTCCTCTGCCGAGGGTCCGGGTTCAGTTTCGGGATTGTTGACATGTTCTGGATCTGCCAGAGACCCGGGCAGGGGTTGCAATATGTCGCAAGGATCTACTACACTGGAGGTTACACCGACTACGCACCGTCGGTCAAGGGCCGGTTCAGGATCTCCAGGGACAACGGGCAGAGCTCGGTGACTCTGGCCATGAACAATCTCAAGGACGAGGATTCCGCCACCTATTTCTGTGCCAAATGTTACAGTAGTAGTTGTGGTGGTGGTGGTGCTGGTTATGGTGTTGATGGTGGTTTTGGTCCAAAGTCCTCTCCTCTCTGTTCCCAAATATCTCAGAATTCTCCTATGCTTCCCTAAAATCCCCACCCCTGTTTCTCAAATCTTGACCATTTCCCCCTAAACTCCACCGCTGCCCCAGCTTTTGGTTTCCCCCAGTTTTGCCCATTTCGCCACAATCTCCCCCAGTTCCTCTCCGTCCCAATACGGAACCGGGATCGCTCTGGGGCCCTTTGCACACAAAGCTTTTTGTGCAGCCGTCGCTCTGCCGCAGCGCCCAGAGGCTGAGCTGCCCTCTGCCAAACACAGATGTTCACAATGACCAAAACCAGGAACTTTCTGTTTCCTTTCCTGCCCCGGCCGGGCCCCGGCAGCTGCTGGGGAGGAAGTGGGGGGAGGCTGCGGAGCCCCAAAATCACGGCGTCTTCTCCTCCCTCCCTCCCTCGCTCCCACCTGGGGCTTCACTTCTCCCTCAGCGGCTTCGGTGTCTGGGGCTGTTCTTTGGGGCTGGGCTGGCATCCTCTCTGGGAGGTATGGAGAAAAAACCCTGTTTTTTTACGCAAAAACACATAAAATATTGGGGGAATTGAATTTTTAAAATTTGTCACGAGCCAAGGGCTCCATGCTGAGAGAAGCAGATGGGTCTAAGGGTGGAGTCACCTGGAAGGTTCCATTGGTCAAGGGCAGGGTCAGAATGGGCAAGGAGAGCTCAGGAGCCAAAATGGCCCCAAGTGGGCCCTGATCTGAGGTGTGCGGCCAGGAGCTGAGAATGTGGGGCAGAGCCAGGGCCGGGTTGGGGCACGGGGACAGGAATGGGGTCAGGGGCTGGGGATTGGGGAAGGGTCTGGGACAGGTGAGGGCAAGTGGTGACACAGCGATGGGGGCGGGGACAATAACATAGGCATAATTATCAGAAGCAGTAGCACCAGCACCCTTGGCACAGAAATAGGATCCGGAATCCTTGTCCTTGAGGTTTTTCACGGTCAGCGTCACCGAGCTCTGCCTGTTGTCCCTGGAGATCGTGACCTGGCCCTTGAACGATGGCACGTACTCTGTGTTGACACCACTGCTCCAGATCCCCGCGACCCATTCCAGCCCCTGCCCGGGTCTCTGTCGGAGCCATTTCAGGGCAACACTCCCGAAACTGAACCCTGCCCATCGGCAGAGGAGCTGCAAGGAACCCCCGGGGGGCTGGAGGTCCCCCCTGCACTCCAGCAGGGTCACGGCCGCTCCCCCATCCCCAAACCTTCTCTGGTTTGCCCCAAACTCCCTTTGTCTGGCCTCAAATATCTAACAGAGGTTCCTTATATTTTAACTTATGTTAAACCCTGCAATTACCCCCGATCCATCCAATAATTAATTGGACACCTCCACCTGAGTTTTGCATCTCATCATCCCCATCTCCCCTTTGTCCCGCAGGGCTCCGGGCGGCCGTGACCCTGCTGGAGTGCGGGGGGCACATCCAGCCCCCCGGGGGGTCCCTGCGCCTCCTCTGCCGAGGGGCCAGGTTTAATTTTTGGAATTTTGAAATGTTCTGGGTGCGTCAGAGACCCGGGCAGGGGCTTGAGTGGCTCACGGGGATCAGCAGCAGTGGTGGCAGCACCTGGTACGGGCCATCGGTGCAGGGCCGGTTCACGATCTCCAGGGACAACGGGCAGAGCTCTGTGACGCTGACCATGAACAATGTCAAGGACGAGGATTCCGCCACCTATTTCTGTGCCAAATCTGCTTATGGTGGTGGTGATGATGCTGCTGCTTATATTGACCTTGCCGGTGGTCACACCACCAGTTGTGAGCCGTTCCTGTCCCCAGTCCCCAGACCCTTCCCCAAATCACAGCTCTTGACCCCATTCCTGAGCCTTTCCCCCAGATCTCCCCCATTTCCAGCAACACCAACCACGAAGCCACAAAGCCCTTACTGGTTCTGCCCCAAACCAAAGTAAGTTGGCAGCAAAATTCACCCCAAATCTCCCTGATGTCCTCAAATCTCCTCCAGCTCCCTGGGCCTCATTGGAGGAGGCCTGAACTGCAGGCCAGGGGTGAAGGTTTGGGGCCAATGGTTGAGTGTTGGGGCAGGAGCAGGGGAGGGTTTTGGGTCAGTGCTGACCATTGGGGCAAATGGGGACAAAGGGTCAAGGGCTGGGTCAAGAGGTGAGATTTGGGACGAAAATCAGAACTCTTGGGAGTCAGTGCTGGGAGTGGTATCGGAACCAGGAGCTGGAGGCCATAACGGGCATCATCAACATAACCAGCACTAGGAACACGACCAGAGCACGAAGCTTTCCCACAGAAATAGGATCCGGAATCCTCGTCCTTGAGGTTGTTCATGGTCAGCGTCACCGAGCTCTGCCCGTTGTCCCTGGAGATCCTGAACCGGCCCTGCACCGAATCCGCGTAGTCGGTACTGCCACCTTTGCTGATCTGTGCAATTAATTCCAGCCCCTGCCCGTGTCTCTGTCGATACCAACCCATCCCAAAACTGTCAAAATTCAACCTGGACCCTCGGCAGAGGAGGCGCAGGGATCCCCTGGGGGGCTGGAGGTCCCCCCCGCACTCCAGCAGGGTCACGGCCCCTCCCCCATCCCCAAACCTTAACTGGCTTTGTCCCAAATTACATTTGTCTGGCCCCAAATCTCCAAGAGAGATGCCCAGTATTATACAGTGCCTTCAAGCCTCCAATTGACCCCAATCCACCCATTAATTAATTGGACAGCTCTGCCTGAGTTTTGCATTGCCTTATCCCCATCTCCCCTTTGTCCCGCAGGGCTCCGGGCGGCCGTGACCCTGCTGGAGTGTGGGGGGGACCTCCAGCCCCCCGGGGGGTCCTTGACGTTGCTGTGCCGAGGGGCCAGGTTCGGTTTTGGCAATTTTGGGATTGCCTGGATCCGCCAGAGACCTGGGCAGGGGCTGGAGTGGGTCGGAACCATCACCAGCAGTGGTGGCAGCACCTGGTACGCGGATTCCGTCAAGGGCCGGTTCACGATCTCCAGGGACAATGGGCAGAGCTCGGTGATGCTGACCATGAACAACCTTAAGGACGAGGATTCCGGATCCTATTTCTGCGCCAAGAACACCGATGGTCACGGTGCTTATGCTGATGCTGTTTGGGGAGGATGGAACAGCAAAGCCTTATCACTATGATTGCCTGGCAAAAGATTTTGAGAATATGGAAACCATCAGCAAGATTGAAATGAAAGTAAGCTTTGAGATCCCTCAGTGACTGAACAACTGGAAAATAACGGTGTGGCCAGCTGAAGGTGATCCCATTTTGATGGAACAACACCCTCTGCCTGCAGACAGCTCCAAGGGTCACAGCAGACCCCACAGCTTGGCAGAAGGGGCCAAAGAGGAGTTTTAGGGTTTAAAGTTACTCCAAAGACGGGTTTTTAGGGTTTAAAGTAACTCCAAAGAGGAGTTTTTAGGGTTTAAAATGTAACAAAGTGTAGTAATGTAATGATTCTTATAGGCTGGATGAAATGCTATAGCATTTGTATATTGTACTAGATTGGTTAGTGAGAATTAGAATATTCAACACAGAAGATGATTTATTGTATGGTGGTGGGAATCTCACTTTCTCATGCTTTTTTTCTCTTACAGTTTTATGCTCTTACCCTTTTATTCACTCACTTTTTCACTCTCTTACCCTTTTTATTCTCTCACGCTTTTTACTCTCTGACCTTTTTTACTCTCTTACTCTCTTCCTCTTTTACCGCCTCACCCTTTCTCCCGCTCTCCCCTTTCTTCTCTCAGTCCTGCTCCAGCTGTGCCTGGCAGCTCCCAGCAGGGCCCTGCAGTTCGTCCTTTGCAATAAACCCAAAATTCCAGACCTGGCTGCAGAGATCTCTTGTGTCCGTCCGTCTGTCCTGACCGTCCTGCGCCCGGATGCTCCTGCAAGGCTGGTTGGGGATGGGGTCATGCCCGGCACGTCAATAGCACCATCATCAGAACTACAACCACCAGTGTAAGCACATTTCCCACAGAAATAGGATCCGGAATCCTCGTCCTTGAGGTTGTTCATGGTCAGCGTCACCGAGCTCTGCCCGTTGTCCCTGGAAATCCTGAACCGCCCCTTGACCGATGGCGCGTAGTCGGTGTAGCCACCAGTGTTGCTGATATCTGCAACGTATTCCAGCCCCTTCCCGGGTCTCTGGCGCACCCAGAACATTTTATAACTCCCAAAATCGAACCCGGACCCTCGGCAGAGGAGGCGCAGGGATCCCCTGGGGGGCTGGAGGTGCCCCCCGCACTCCAGCAGGGTCACGGCCGCCCGGAGCCCTGCGGGACAAAGGGGAGATGGGGATGGGAAACCTGATTGGTCCAGAAGGGGAAAAGGGGCGTGACTTCCAGGAAAAAGGGTTGGGACCCACCTGGGAGGGGCAGCAGGAGCAGCAGGGCCAGGAGCCGGAGGGAGCTCGAGGCCGTGGCCGGGATGTGCCCGGGTTTGGGTCCCGGGGGGAATTGGGGGTCGTTAACAGTGCATTAACTGTGTAATCAATGCAGAATGCTCAGGATGAGGTGTCTAAGTAATTAAAGAATGGATTGGGGTTAATTGCAGGGTTTGAGGCATGTTGAGATTTGGAAAACTCTGGTGGGGTTTTGGGGGCTAAAAAAAGGGGAGTTATGAGAGAAATTGGTGAAGGTTTGGGGATGGGGTCCGGGCGGCCATGACCCTGCTGGAGCACGGGGGGGACCTCCAGCCCCCGGGGGGGCCCTGAGACTCCTCTGCCGCACCTCTGGGTTTGATTTCGAAAAATTTGCAATGCTGTGGATCCGCCAGAGACCCGGGCAGGGGCTGGAAATTGTGGCAGGGATCAGCAGAAGAAGTGGCAGCATCTTTTACTTGGACTCGGTCAAGGGCCGGTTCACATTGACGAGTGACAACGGGCAGAGCTCGCTGATGCTGTCCATGAACAACCTCGAGGACGAGGATTCCGCCACCTATTTCTGTGCCAAAACCAGTACAGATGGTTGTTGTAATGCTGCAGCTCGTCTTGATCAAACTGATCTGATCACTGTGTCCCTGTCTGCATGCCCGCGCCCCAGACCCTTCCCCCAAACCCCATTCCTGTCCCTCTGTCCCAGCCCTGCTCTGGCTCTTCCCAAATGTCTCCTCTGGGCCACACTCAGTGCCCTCGTTCCTCAAATGTCACCAAAATGTCAGGATTTGGGCCCAAAGTTAAGATCAGGGATCAAGAATTCAAATTTGGCCTAAAATTCCCAATCTGAGGCCAATGGTGCAGATTTGGGTCGGTGGCTGTGACTTTGTGTCTGCAGGGGAGATTTGGGGTAATACTGAACAAGTCTGGGGGCAGTGGTTGGGATTCGAGGGACGAGGCCGAGCTCAGGGTGAAACCGGCCCTGATTTGGGGCCAGGAGCTGAGATTTGGGGCCAGGAGCTGAGATTTGGGGCCAGAGCAGGGAAGGGTTGGGTCACTGGGACAGGAGTGGGGTCAGGGGCTGGAATTTTGGGGAAGAGTCTGGGGAACGGGGACGGGAGGGGACACAGGGATGGGGCCGAAACCTCAAACATCAGCAGCATAAGGAGCAGCACCAGCACCAGTGCGTTTGGCACAGAAATAGGATCCGGAATCCTCATCCTTTAGGTTGTTCATGGTCAGCGTCACCGAGCTCTGCCCGTTTTCCCTGGAGATCGTGAACCGACCCTTGAACGATGGCGTGTACGCGGTCCAACCACCATTGTAGCTGATACTCGCAACCCACTCCAGCCCCTGCCCAGGTCTCTGGCGGATCCAGAACATCCCAAAACTGCCAAAACTGAACCCGGACCCTCAGCAGAGGAGGCGCAGGGACCCCCCGGAGGGCTGGAGGGCCCCCCCGCACTCCAGCAGGGTCAAGGCCACCCGGAGCCCTGCGGGACAAAGGGGAGATAAGGATCAGAAATCTGATTGGTTCAGAAGGGGAAAAGGGGTGGGGCCACCTGGGAGGGGCAGCAGGAGCAGCAGGGCCAGGAGCCGGAGGGAGCTTGAGGCCGTGGCCGGGATGTGCCGGGGTTGGGGATGGTTAATGCTGGTTTTAGTTTTGAAATCAATGTGGAACACTCAGGACAAGGTGTGCAATTAATTAATGAGAATATTGAGTTAACTTGTAGGGTTTGAGGGACCTCAGGATTCCAGAAAAATCTGATGGAGATTTGGGACCAAACCAGTGGAGTTATGAGGGAAATTGGTAAAGATTTGGGGAAGGGCTCCAGGCGGCCGTGACACTGATGGAGTGCGGGGGGGACCTCCAGCCCCCCGGGGGGTCCCTGCGCCTCCTCTGCCGAGGGTCCGGGTTCAGTTTTGGACAATTTGGGATCAGCTGGGTGCACCAGAGACCTGGGCAGGGGCTGGAATTTGACGCAGACATTGACAGCGATGGATACACCAGATACCCGTCTGCGTTCAAGGGTTGGGTCACGATCTCCAGGGACAACGGGCAGAGCTCGGTGACGCTGACCATGAACAACCTCAAGGACGAGGATTCCGGATCCTATTTCTGTGCCAAATGTGCTTCTGCTGGTTTGGGTGCTTATGCTGCTGGTGCTGCTGTTGGACCGCATCCCTATCCCTGTGTGCCACCCTACCCTCTTCCCCTGATCCTTCCCTCCAACCCTTGACCCCATTGGTGACTCCCACAGACCCAAATCTGGCCCATTTTCCCCAAATCTCGGCCATTTGCACCCAGGTTTGGAGACCTAGACTGAGACGTGGAGCCAAGATCTGAGGTTTGGAGCCAAGAGCTGAGAATGTGGGGCAGAGCCAGCTCAGAGCTGGGACACGGGGACAGGAATGGGGTCAGGGGCTGGGGATTGGGGAAGGGTCTGGGGAATGGGGACATGGGGGGACACAGCCATGGCGTGGCCTCAATGCCATAGGCATCATTAACAGCACCATTATCATCAGCACCCCTGGCACAGAAATAGGATCCGGAATCCTCGTCCTTGAGGTTGTTCATGGTCAGCGTCACCAAGCTCTGCCTGTTTTCCCTGGAGATCGTGAACCGGCCCTTGACCGATGGACTGTAGTAGGTGTAAGCAGGACTGCTCCAGATCACCGCAACGTATTCCAGCCCCTGCCCGGGTCTCTGGCGGATCCATTGCAGGGGAAAACTGCTGAAACTGAACCCGGACCCTTGGCAGAGGAGGCGCAGGGACCCCCCCTGGGGGGACTGGAGGTCCCCCCCGCACTCCAGCAGGGTCACGGCCGCCTGGAGCCCTGCGGGACAAAGGGGAGATGGGGATGAGGCCAAAGCTCAACCCTTGAACCCATAATCCTGACTCTTGGCCCCAAATTGGGACCTTTGGACATCATCATCCTCCTCCCAGGTGGGTCACATCCCTTTTTTCAAGCGTGCTATGCCTATTTGGGCACTCTTGACCAATCAGGTTTCTCATCCCCATCTCCCCTTTGTCCCGCAGGGCTCCGGGCGGCCGTGACCCTGCTGGAGTGCGGGGGGGACCTCCAGCCCCCTTGGGGTGTCCCTGACATTGCTGTGCCGAGGGTCCGGGTTGGATGTTGGTGGCATCACCATGTTCTGGGTGCGCCAGAGACCCGGGCAGGGGCTGGAGTGGGTTGGGAGCATTCGGAAGGAGGGCTGGAGCTCCATGTACGTGCCGTCGGTGCAGGGCCGGGTCAGGATCTCCAGGGACAACGGGCAGAGCTCGGTGACGCTGACCATGAACAACCTCAAGGATGAGGATTCCGGATCCTATTTCTGTGCCAAATCTGATGCTGTTGGTGGTTATAATGTTGGTGCTATTGGCCGGCTATTGGGACGCACCTGTCCCTGTTCCCCAGACCCTTCCCACCAAACCCTGACCACACTCCTGCCCTTTGTCTCAACTTTGCCCTGCTCTGAACCCACATCTCAGCTCCTGGCCCCAAATCTCAGCTCACAGCCCCAAATCTCAGCTCTTGGCCCCAAATCTCAGCTCCCAGCACAAAATTTGGGCCAGTTTCGCCCTGAGCTCGGCCTCATCCCTCCAATCCCAACCATTGCCTCCAGACTTGTCCAGTTTTACCCCAAGTCTCCCCTGCGGGCACCGAGTAACAGCCACCGACCCAAATCTCGCCCATTAGCCACACATCGGCAATTTCAGGCCAAAATTTGAATTTTTGAGTCCTGACCTTAACTTTGGCCCCAAAATTTGAAAAATTAAATGTAATTTGAGGAACGAGGGCACTGAGTGTGGCCCAGAGGGGACATTTGGGTCAGAGCCAGAGCAGGGCTGGGACAGAGGGTGAGGAGTGGGGTCAGGGGCTGGGGACTGGGGGGAAGGGTCTGGGGAACGGGGACAGGAGGGGGCACGACCATGAGGGAGGAGCCAATAGCATACGCAGTATTTGAACCAGCAGCAGCACGAGCACTCTTGGCACAGAAATAGGTGGCGGAATCCTCATCCTTGAGGTTGTTCATGGTCAGCGTCACCGAGCTCTGCCCGTTGTCCCTGGAGATCCTGAACCGGCCCTTGACTGATGGCGCGTAGGCGGTGCTGGAACCACTGCTGTAGATGCCTGCGAGCCATTCCAGCCCCTGCCCGGGGCTCTGGCGGATCCAGAGCATGTCAAAATTCCCAAAACTGAACCCGGACCCTCGGCAGAGGAGGCGCAGGGAGCCCCCGGGGGGCTGGAGGACCCCCCGCACTCCAGCAGGGTCACGGCTGCCCGGAGCCCCACAGGACAAAGGGGAGATGGGGAGGAGGAGCTGGGTTGGTTATGGACACAAAGTGGGCACCGCCATGCCAGAAGAAGTGTGTGGGATCCACCTTGGAGGATTGGCAGGTGCTGCAGGAGGCGGATGGTGAGGTCCAAGAGTCCCAGTTTGTGGCCAGCATCAGGGTCTGCATGCAAGAATCAATATTTGGGTTGATTTTTTCCCCTTCCCCATCTCCCCTTTGTCCCGCAGGACTCCAGGCGGCCGTGACCCTGCTGGAGTGCGGGGGGACCTCCAGTCCCCCGGGGGGTCCCTGCGCCTCCTCTGCTGTGGGTCCGGGTTTGATTTTGGGAAATTTGGGATGGGCTGGATGCGGCAGAGACCCAGGCAGGGGCTGGAATTCATCGCCAGCATCAACAGTGATGGTGGCAGCACCAGGTACGCGGATTCAGTCAAGGGCCGGTTCAAGATCTCCAGGGACAACAGGCAGAGCTCGGTGACGCTGACCATGAATAACCTCAAAGACGAGGATTCCGGATCCTATTTCTGTGCCAAATCTGCTGGTGCTGCTTGGGCTGTTGCTGCGAATCCTTTTGTCCCCATCCGCTTTGCTGTTTCCCCACTTGTCCCCATTTTCCCGATTCTTTCCCCAAACCGCAGCTCCTGACCAAATTCCTGTCCCCGTGTCCCAGCTCTGAACTGGCTCTGCCCCAAATCTCAGCTCTTGGCCCCAAATC